TTAAGTTGGAAATATGTGCATCATGTAGATCCTAATGAGTAATGAGTACCTTCACGACAATTGAAGCCATTACCTTATTGACGCCGAGATATTGTATTGTTACTCTATTTGTCAATACACTCATGTCACTTTCTTCAGAAAGACTAGGCAAATTGAAGGCATGGGGAAAAAGTTCGCGACATTTTTTCTATCAATATATCTTTGCAACTACTTGAGCAATTTCAACAAATAAATAGTCATTTTAAAGAGCATTTCAAAGTATACTTATTGTGCAAAAATAAAGGTTCTAGCTCAAGAAGTAAGAGCGTCAATAAAGGAAGTTTATTACATGCGTTTTTGGTTCTCAAAAAACAACAGGTGCGGCACATTAAACGGTGGCATTTTGCATTTCAACTTTTCATTACTTAATACGTTGTTTAAAACAAAACAAAATATGTCACAAGATGCAGCGTGAAAAGCTCTACAATTTACACGGAAGACTTTATTTGTTAAAATGTCTCACGTAGTTGCAAAGATATATCGATAGGAAAAATGCCGTGAACTTTTTTCCCTTACATTAGTGCCATTATAATTGATGGTTAGAAACAAAAATATCTATTAGAATCAGATTTTTCTGGTTTGCTTTTACTTGAATATTCATCAATCTATTTTAATCAAACATATTGGAAACAGATGGTTTTCTCCAGATTCGAACACAAAACTTCCCAGATTTCCATGATTATTTGAATTCTTCATGGTTGCAAGTTGTACTGCTGTCAATGAACCCAAATCATCCAAATTTAGTTAAGTTGAAACGTCTATATAAATTATTTGAAGTTAAAATGCCGCTATTACAACAGAAGTCGATTAAAATTGAATTAAAAGCTATTAAAAATGAATGTTCTATTGAGTTTAATCTAAAAGTGTCATATTTAATCAGGTTTTGTTAGACTATTTCATGAAAATTGATTATAAATCGATTAACCCTTTGGCTGTCGACATAAGAGAAGGAAGAAACGATTTTTCAGAAAATTGATTTCTTTTTTATGGAACAATCCTGTAGCGTGCCTTAATAAAATGATGATTTAGGAAGTGCATGGTGCCTAAGGTTTGTTTTTACGCAAATACTTTTGAAAAATATACATTATGAAGGGTTGCTTTAGTTCTTGTGAAGACGAGACCCTTGATGCATATATGTGTCGGTGACAGTCAAAGGGTAAAGAAACAATTTTTATCAAAAATATTCCAAAAAAATTAGAATATCCTTGATTACATTGATTAATTTTGATCAAAAACCTACGTAAACAATATCGTTTATAATCGATTCTTGACAGTCAATATTATAATCTTTCACAAGTCTTTTTTAATTCCCATGAATTGCAATCAATATCCGTATCGAAATTTAATCCATTATATTCGAAATCAAACAGAAGAATCAACGAAACTTTGTTTTTGTTTTCATTATTTAAGAATCTAGTTGACTAACAGTACACTTATGGCGATAAGAAAGTGCATGACTTTAATCGATTCTAAATGAAACTCTAATGCATTTTAAGCTGACTTTTTTCTTTATTGTTTTTGCCTAATTCGAAAGCTTGATGAAAAAAAACTACACCGGCTTTTTTTTTAAATCGATCAAAATCGATTCGATTATTATTTGATTATTTGGATCCGTAGAGACAAAAAAAAATTTCAAAGGATTACTTTTGCGATCAATTAAATTCGACTACGATTGCAATCGATATAGTAGCCTATTTACCGAAATATCGACTTTAATGGTTTACTGTCTAAAAAAGATCAATTTTAATCTATTATCTCGTTGAAGTCATTCAAAATATAGTATATTTATTCGGTTCTTGTTATTACTGTCAGAAAAACAAGCGATTTTAATCTGATTTGTAGATTGTTTTCTTTTTACATCGATAGAAGTTTTTTCGCCAGTGCTTTGAAGCAAAATATTTAAAAGCTAATTCTCTAAAGTACCACCACTCATCAACAATGCACTGGTGCTTTCGATTAAAATAACTTGTGAAATTATAGTTTGACATTAATTTCTAGGAGACTGTTAAGGACTGCTCGAAACATGTGTGACATTGGATTGCTGCTGTTGAATCTAATTTTGTATAGGTGATAGATATTTCAGTTTTACCAACAGAAAGGAGTCTTGTAGGTTAAGATCTGCGAACTATACTCAATCAGTACATACTTTCATATGATTTATTGGAATAGGTGGTTAAAGGTCGAAAGGAAAAATGTCGAAAGAGAAAATGTCGAAAGGCAAAATGTCGAAAGCAGAGTGTCGAAAATCTAAATCATTTTTGGTCACAGATTTCGCCCTCACCCTCACTGTTGTGCTCTGTGAATGTGTACCGTATTACATTCTATTGATCAAATCTTAGAAAAAGTTTTTCATCAAGGATTTACAGGGGTTCATAATTTTCGACATTTTGCTTTTCTACATTTTCACTTTCGACATTTTCCTTTCGACATTTTGACACTTTACCATTTATTGCAGTAAATCTATTGTAAGTTCAGAATGTCGATGATCTTCCGTTCTCATAGTGAAAGCTGGAACATTGCCTATTGTTCTTTTATTTTTCTTATCAAGCAGTTTGAAAACTTACGGTAGGTAGCTATTGTTAGATTAACTTCTATCCACTACAACCCGATGGGATAAGCTTCGTTAAACTACAGTCTTTTAGAAAAAAGCACAATGCAGGTGTCTTAACTTTTTTTTCGATAAGCTTAGTCTGGGCATGGATTGTTTGATAACAATCAAACCTTCATCTACACTTCTTTTTCACTACTCTAATGACACAACTATGATCGATCACTAGTGACAACGTCCAACACAAGATTGGTGTTGCCATAATCCGAATCTCTTCAGAATATGGCAACACGAGTCATATAGAACTACTTTCAGACACCAGTAACCTAATAATGTACTGGTAGAGCATAAAATGTAGTAAAATTTTAAACAAATCAGTAGAATTGGAAAAATCACTGATGACGTTGTGTTCAGAGTATCTTCTAGTGTCTATATATTCAGTAAGAATCACTTTCTATTATTGGTACAACAAAATCAATGCTTTCTATGTAAATAGTAGCTAAGAGACAACCTAAACGAGCAACAAGAATTCACTCGACTGAAATTCATGAAGCCTATCGAGAACTATCAGATGTGAGACTGACTAGTCTCAGTGTACCTATAGTAAAACATATGTAATTTTCTTGTAAGCTGAACCAATCCTTTACTACACATAAAATCATAGTTCGAAACGGTTCCCGTGTGCTATATAAAAAATGATGCATGATTCGTGTAGAATACAGAATATCTGACCCCAAAATACTACCTAAAAGAGAGTCATATCAAAAACTTTTGTAGTGCTCTGCAGTACAAAATGAGTTATTCTTACGGCAGGTCATACAAGACTCGCATCCTTTGAAGTTCTCTAGTTTAGACGAACATTAGTAGTCGAATTCTTTCTCCATTACCTGAACATCTTTTACAGATTATTCCTAGTGACATCTCAATTCAAATAATCAAAACAGTTTCATGAAATAATTTACTCTAAACAGCTGTAAACATGCATATGTTTTCAAGGTCATGTAAAACATTTGTAAGATTCCTTTTTTAACAGAAGATAATATTTGAAAAATATATTCATTATTCATAGTCATTTCAATAAAGATTCTGATGACGAGTTTCTTTCTTCAACACATTAATACTATGTGAGTTGAAGCCTTTTACGTGCATTGACATAGACGAAACACTTCAGCCAAATTATATTTATTTCAAAAAAAAAATTGTGAAGGACAGAAAAACAAGAGAATATCACATGGCAAGAAACGTATCATTTTTCTTTTATAATCAATGACAGTAAATAACTTATGTCTATGATTCTATTTCTTTATATCATATGAATATATAACCTAAATATTCTACTTAGAAATGATTATAATTAATTCAAAATCAATCAAGAACTATAATGTTTCATTGATATTTATTAAATATCTAATTCGATATCTGTTTCGTCGTATATAGAAAATAATTTATATTTGCCAAAGCCATTATGTTAGACAGGTATATATCAATTATAATCATTTTAAGTGTTTATTATGAGAATTCGATGGATCTCTTATGTTTTATAAATACAAAATATAATATATCTTCAATCTTCTTGTTTTGTATTATAACCAATTTCAGTTATATTTCAAATTCAAATCTTCTACAGACATCACCAACGGGTCATTTTACTCTGTAATGCTATTTTTTGATAACATTTGAGTTAACATGATTCATTATTTATGTTTCTGGATATGAATCATAATCAACCTGGAAGTCAGCATTGCTGACTAACAATAAATAAAATGTTCCTGTGAATTTTCTAATTGATAATGGCTTTGATATTAGATCTGTTTTGTATGATATTTCAATGAAATATTCCTACACCAACGCTCTTAAGTCAAGGAAAAGAAAAAAAAAGGGTCACGATAAACAGTTTAAGGTTGTATTGGTTGTTTTTTTTTCTCCTACCTAAAAATCCCAGTCATATGAGTCACTCGCTCTTCATTAGTATTCTTTCGAGCTTGAAAGAACAAAAAAGTCACAATTTTCTTAAAAAGCTTTTTCTTTTCATAACAAAAAAGTTAAATAAATATTGATATAAAAAAATCAAAAACATATTCTTCACTGAAAAATAGAGTAAATTCGACGTTTGAAACCCGATCCATATAGCATAAAATGCTTTGCCATCAGGAAAATGTATTTGTTAGTATTTCTATTGTAATCTATCAACGCGAAATTCATAATTTCAGATTAGCAGTTTACATCTTAAACAAATTATCAGCGAACGTAGAAATATCAGGGTCATCGAAAGACATATCACATGGTGAAAATTGTTGGTCAGTGGTTGACGAATCAGAAGAATCGAACAAAAAATCCATATCATCGTCGGTACATCTATGAGCTAGAGAGAAAAAAAGAGAAATTTTTATATTCTGTCCTAAAAACTAGTAAGTCATTTACATGATTGATAAAGAAAGTTAATACGTGCAATTTCTTCACTATTTTGACTCACAACTAGAGGAATTTCTATACTTTCATTTCCAGTTGCTTGTAAACAACATGGTGGAGTTGTGAATGCAATTGTTTTCATATCCACAAATTCGAAAGGAATGAGACTTTTTGTATTCGATGACAAATATTCAAAATATACCTGACATGCTAGAATAAAAAAAAACAAAAGATTTAAGTTACCAAAAATAAACAAAAAATATTAATAATAAATTACCTTTTCTCTTATCAAGTTTTGGAACAACCATCAAAACATCATCACCACCTTCCCAACAACCTTTCTTCGGTGCACATCTAACATTTGATTCGTCATTTTTTATGGGTGTTGTTTTAATGGCAGTCATGATATGAGAATATACAGATGTTTCATCGTATGTACCAGGAAATACATCATCATTAGATAGTTCAGCTACAGAAAAAAGTAATTGTGATTTTGTTAACTGATAAGTATCAACTATTTTTCGAGCATCATGTGGATTATTTACAAGTGTAATATCTTTTTCATCTATAGAACAAAAAAAAACAATTGGTAAATAAGATTTTTTTTTTGAGTTTATTTCATTACCTGTATTCAAAAGACATAATTGTCCATAATTTCTTAACTCATATTGGGTTAGTTTTTTACGAGCAATTCGAAAACTAGATTTAACAAAAAAATCAAGTAGATTATTTATAGAAGAGAGTTTTGTATTTTATTATTTTACCTCTTACGACCATTATGTAATTCTTGTTCTGATATTGGAAAATAAAGTGTATTTCTTTTTGGGTCTTTAATAACATTAGATTCTACAGTATCGATTGGATAAGGATGTATATATCTCACAGGAACTTGTTCACTGCATACACTTACTAAAGTAACACGGATATATAACTGTTGACTATCCCATTGTTGTGGTATCTAGTTCACAATCATGTTAGAAATAAATAAAGAAAAAATTTTAAATTTTATTTACTTCGATTGTTGGATAGTCCCATTTTAATGCATTAGTTTCAGCACGAATAAAACGTTGTGATCGATTACGACTTCGATCTGTTTCACAGGAATATCTTTCACGATGTAATGCTTTTGGTTGAACAATCACACGAAGTGGTACGTTCGATTGAGCCATTGGTTCAGATAAAAACTAAAATCTACATTGTACGAAATATGCTTTTATATTTATATCGAACATTTGATAAAACCACGCTTAAATAAAGTCACTCTATTCCTCGCTTACGATTTCAAAGAGGCCATGCACAGCAGCACCCCCGGAATAAACCTTTCCGTGACTTTTTCTTTCTTGAAGAAACATCGGAAATATCCTTGTTGTATTACTAATAATAATTTGCTATGTCCTTAATAAAATTAATAGGAATTGACCAAACAATCAAACATTATGATTCAACCATACTCAAAGATAAAATGTCAAAAACATATACTTGAAAGGTGAGCTGAGTCACAGTGAAGCGTGTGGCTTTTGATTTCCTTTTCTGTTTCTACGAGTACACTTAACATAATTTATTGCTTGTATATACACAACAAAGAGACTATATGTGGGAAAAAATAAGAAACATGAATTTTCGATCATAACTTTCTCATCCATTGTAGATCGATACATCTTATTCAAATGCAACAAGCAGGTTTATTACCAACAGCGAAGAATCTTTGTCAATAACAATTAAGATTACTAGTAAGAATTTTCTTTTTGACATCTAAAAAAACATCCATTTCTAATCGAGATGAGAGTGAGATAATCATAATGACTCTACACTCAGACATGACTTTAATAACAGCAAATTAACAGTTAAACTTCTTTTTAGTTATTTTTCTACTAAAAAAAAGCAATTGTCTTCATTCGTCATGATCTGACTCAGATAATTGTTTTGGATAACTTCAGAGTTATATGGACCAACAGAAATCATTCTGCTCTAGACATTCATACTGTTCTTCACCAGTATTTTATACTGAGTTATGATAGATAATGATATAATCTCTATGATATCATAGAAAGATTATTTTTTCAAGACTTTAAGGAACCATCGCTAGGAAATTTCACCCTTTATCTTATTTGGAACAGCTCTAAGATCATTTTTAGAAATTTCCATCCCAATACTGCATGCTTCGATAAAGGCAGTTTGGTTTTACTGTTTCATAAGAACTTTGAACAGTCGAAATGGTTTTTCTAGTGAAATCATAACAAATGAAGACAAGTACACTTTTTGCCAGAAAAAAAATAGCAAAAATTATGTTTTACCTATTTATGTGTTGTATTTAAAGTGATAGAAGAGTAACTGCCGATCTTTCAGCGTGGAATTGTGTTGTAACTGATGTTTCTTCATTGTTTCAAAATCATCCCATTCGATTGAATAATTGAGATTCGAGAGTGATGGTGACTTCGATATGATCATTGACCCATCACTTTCATTCTGTAAACTGTTTGCGTCTGAAGCTTTCAGGAAACAATGATCAAGTATTGTGAAACACTTACTAAAATTTTTCCAAAGACTCATCAAATGTTTGCTCAGCTATTGTTTGTTCAAAGGTATTCTACAGTTTTTTTGCATGTGTATGTTTTTAGTACAAAAATGAACAGATATTTAGGGATATTTTCGCGGAAACTGAAAATCTGCAATGGAAAGAAATAGTTAATATCTTCAAAAAAAAAAAGAGGTATCTCTTCATAATATTCTGATTATCTTACGAAATAAAAGTAATAAAAAAGAAAAATTTTATTAGCCTTTGTTAGTTTCTCATATGATTATTGTGATCTTGATAAATGATACTATTTTACTCATTTAAATTTGAATTAGAAAAAGAGACACTTATATCTCTTATTGCGAAAAACTGCACTACTAATCAAGAAAGAAAAGAGAAGCTTACATTTTCTTAGACTGATTGTGAATTTTGAAGATATCTCGTGGAAAACGAATGAATGTCAGTGAATATAAAAATTTTACATAGCATAAATTGAGATTATCAACTCCTTTGAATAGCTTCTGTCCTATTATAACAATATAATAACTCTTCAAGTGATCAACTCTGAAGATTGAAAAATATGAATGTCTGATAGAATGTTGTTTGTGATCAAAGGTACACTATATAGGAGAGCAGACGAGACGTCACATTACCTGTGATGATAATCGATAGAGTATAAGCCCAACAAGCGTAACGAAACAAAAACAATAGCTCAGGTGACAAGAAAAACACTGAAGCTAGCTCCTATTTTGTTATGAAGAAGGCGACAAAAAACACATAGAATGAAAAAAAAGAAAAAAAGCAAAAACAAGAAAGGCAGTACAATGTGAGAGAAGGAGACAGCCATCAAACTAAATGATTTGTATTTGATGGATCAGGTCACATTGTTTTGGGCTTGGTAGATGTCTAGAAAGAATGATGCAGTACCATACTTACATAGCATAGTGAGTCTTAGCCCTCTTGTGATACATGCACGTAGATCTGATTAAATTAAAAACATAATAGCTTTAATAGTGGTAGAAAAACTTGAATCAATTTGTTTAATATTTTTTACTGCATGACACCCACACCCTTCCATCTTTTATTCTAATCAATTCAGAAATCGTTTGACTTTAACATAGGCCGAAAAGAATCTATACAATCATGTATTATTTGAGTTAGCAAATATTTTGTTTAATTAGTTGTTTATGAAAATAAAGTAAATGCTCAAGTTACGTTATATATTATTTTCAATTCGATTGATTATGGCCTTTTGACGTTTAATATCAAAAATTCAAATATGAACTAAATCAAAAGTTTATTTATAAATTGAAAATAATAAAAATATTTAAAAAACAAAGAATTTCTCTCATATTAGAATAATCTTGTTTGATTTGCATTCATGAAAAAATATGTATGTTCTTCAAGAAGATATTAAGGAAAAACTATTGAATTATTTGTCAATAATAAAGTCGTTTTTTCTGAGTTACTTGTTTTCCGTTTTAAATCACATTGTGGCATGCAAATAAAAACAATGAAATTTTATTTTTTATTTTACGAAAAATTAAATAAAAAAACATTTTAAGTCCGAACGATAAATTATCAGTTAACTGACAGTTAGTTTTCACTATAAGTCATCAAATCAGTTTTCTTATTCTTCTTAGTATAGAATACTTCTGTTTAATAGGTCTGCTCGAAAGAAACATAATAAGAAAAATCGGTACTTAATGAGATAAATAAAAGTCAAGTTCTCATTAAAAGTATCATGTTAATAATCAACGGGTTGAGCTTGAAAATTCAAAAATTTTAGCTGTGAAAGGTATTGAAATATGACTAGATAGGCAACAAGCTTGTTGTAATGATGCAAAAGTATAGTTTTCATTGCATCGAGTATTAAATGAATGTTTAGCATTAACATTGTGTACACATGATATGTAAACTTTTGTAGACGTTTGAAGAAAACAAGTAATACTAAAAACAAAAAGACAAGTGGTTACTAGTTTTTGATTGTAAAAAAGAATAGAAAATGATTCTCTTTGAATCAAACAATTCATAAAAAAATTTTGACTTTTTTTTTCGAGAAGTTGTAAGTTTTCTATCACATTAATATGTGAAGAAGATCTCATGAATATATATTGCAGTATTGTTTATTATATTAACCCTATCGACTTAATTAGAAACCTTAAGCAATACTACTACCACAGTAAGTAAAAGTTATCAGTGCAATTACACAAACATCATGACACTAACGAATAAAAGACTTCAATGAGATTCAAGTAACTCTTTAGATCAAATTAATAACAATTGCTTGTTAGAAAAGAAATTGTGTTCTGATTAAATAAATAAGATGACTAAAATAGTTGACTCTTATTAGCTAATTCACAACAATTAAGAATTATAAGAAATTCATATGCTCGCTGAAAAACAAATCTAAAATTTAAAATACAAATAATCATTGATTTTAGTTATGTTTTTTTCTCACAATAAGACTGTCGTCTTCGGTATATAGACACGTGTAGTTTGGACGAGATGTAAGCTGTTACTTTATGTACCAAGTTGCTTGATTAACAACGTTACAAATAATGGACAAAAGGAAGAAAAGCAGTACATTTCTAGTTTTCGTATGAGACTATTTCTTTCATTAAGAAGAGTTTTTACATTAATATTATTTCTTCAATGATATTTTTGATTTATAACTCGAGCATTATTAACATCTTCAGCAACAAAACATCTATTTCTGTTTTTGAATCAATTGTATACATACTATATAGATAAACTGATTCGAACATAATTACGTGAAATAGAATGATAAAACGAAAAAATAAAAAAAATCGACAGCAATAGATCTTTTAGAAAAACACAGAGAGAATGAAAAGGATGCAGTATTTTGTCTCTGAATTATTTTCTATTGGCAATAATGCTCTATAAATTATCGAGAATTGAACAAACATGCTTTGCCAAAACTTTTCCGCATATCAAAATAATTTCGAGTAATTTCATTATTCAAATTGAGATAAATTTTGCGTCACAGATTTTTAATTTTCTACATGATAATAAATTAGTTTTTAATAGAACTATTTAATTGCAATTTTTGTGCAACACTATGTGTAATATATTCAATTTTTACTTGAACGATAAAAAAATAGTATTTCTTAGGTGTTTCTGTATTTATGTAAAATAAATTTTATACTTTTAATTTGCAGTGTATTTCGACAAAAAAATTCGACACAAGTTGGTATTTATTCATTTCATTGGAGTATGTTTTTTTAATATAACTCGAATCCCAAGCCACCAAGAATAAGAAAAACCGTTCTCAAAAGGCTCAATCGAGAATAAATATGATTCATCTATTTCAAATCGATCAGACTTCAGCATTGAATCTCATCCTTGAATCTTTTCGTTTTAATGGTGAAAGTCGCAACTCTCTATCTTGTTCCTATCAAATGTTATTCAGAAAAAAACCAAGCTGCCTTTTTTTTTGATGTGGCCATGAGAAACGAAACCTTTGCAACAACACAAAACAATACACGTTGATGCTCATTTACTTAGTTCTATATGCAGTATATTATAGATTCTGATCTTGTGTCAGTAAGCAAATGAGAAAACAACAGATTTTTTGTAGGCTTTTGCCAATCTAAAATCCAAAAATTTAAGTATCAAAAACAAAGTCTGATTTTCAATGTTTTGTTTTGATTGTAAACATTCTCTTATAACTCATGCTTATAGGTAGAACTTGGTTGTTAAAAGGAGATTATCTGCACATCTAACGAATAAAATCTACTATAAGGAAAACAAACAATGTTTCCAATTTTTCAAATTATTTTAAATTTTTTGAAGTTTTCCATTAAATTCATTCGTACAACACTTGAAGATAATGAAAAAAATGATAAACAAATTTGATAAAACTATTTTTACATTTTGACTAATTATAGATTCTCTTAGTAAGAATGTCACTTGAATACAATAAATCTAAAATAATAACTTGAATGTTACTGTTAAACATACATTTTCTACGACCTTTCAATTTTTTTTTAAAATTTTCAATATAGGAAAAACAATGATAATAGATCCAAGACTTGTTAATGATATCTGACTCTACTTATTTGCTTTTTCCTTATCTCTGTTGATGTGACCAGAAGAACTAGAACGAGGTGAATTCTATTTTGAATCAGGCCTCTCGATGTGCCGGGAGCTAGCCCCCCAGTAGCCCCCGGCACTTTTTTAGCATGTGTGTGGGAGTTTTTTTTGCTATCTGTCTGCGAAATTTTTAGTAGCTCTTCGATTTCTGGCAAATCTGTCAGAAAGCGCAATATATCTGTCAAATCTAGCAGAGAATATAGACTGTCTACCGAGTCTGGTAGACAGTGCAGGATATCTATCAAATTTGGTAGGTAATGTAGATTGTCTGTCAAATTTAGCAGAGCAGCTGGTGCACAGTGTCTGCCAAATTTGTTACATAATATGGATTGTTTGGCGAATCTAGCAAACATTACGTTGTATAATCGTCACTATTTAATCATATGATAGAATTTAAGTTTAAAAAATAATTTCAAAAACGTTTTCTGAAATCAAAAATAGAAGCAAATGTTCGCTCGCGGATACTTATAAAAAACTACATTTAGTTGCACATCGAAGATTTTGATGGAGATAACTGTCTGCGAAAAATTATTGGCCCCGGCACTCTTGAAAATAATCGAGAGCCCTGATTCCATACTGGGAAAGAAGTATTTTGCCTTTCACATTAGAATTATATTTCTAAAACTGCTTCTTCATTAATTGATCAAGGTCAGAGAATCAGTTAATGCAAGTTTCATAATTATTCATGGAAAGCAAAGTTGTTATTTGTTGACGAAATTAACGAGGTATCATATGAGCTCAGAACACAACGATCATATGCACATATTAAAATTAGTGATAATAGAATTTCGAAGAAAATCAAGAGTGTAAGTATGAAATGTATGCAGAGTTTGAACCGGCATCCGATCATTTTTGTTTTTGTAATGTGACTCATTAATGAAGTGACATTTTCTGTGATATTTTGGTTTTTAGTTTTACATTTATATTTTATAACACCTATCAATCTATGTAAGTGCTTGTTAACCGTTTTCCAGTAAGATAAGATAGGTGTTAAAGAATTGCTTTAATTCGTATATATTGCATGATATTTTGACCCACTCTCTGGTTCAAGCAAATCATTTTGTGCAGATGTTTTATCATATGGTCAATGCAAACAATGGTTTGAGCGTGTCGTTATTAACTGAGGTCAATGATTTCAGCGCACAGAGCGCAAGTTTTCGACAAATTGCTGTCAAAAAACTGAAGAAAACCGAACTTAGAAGGAGGAATTCAGTGTTTATACTTATCTAGTTCCTGCCGAAACCGACGCAAATCAGACAGAGCTGGTAACCAAATTCAATCATTGAACTTCTACTTCTAAATTACTATCAGTATCGAGCCGGAGATGGCATCTTATCTCCGAGTTCTTACCACAAACCCAGCTGTCCGGGTGCTGGCATCATTAACCTCGTCGAATTCCTGCTTCCAAATTCTTACCATTTTCTTAAGTTTCACAGCTGGAAATTATCCGTATTTCTTAACCTAGAAATATTCATATATGATCAAACTTGTTTTGTAGAAGAGTTCATTAATTGAATTACGCATTTATAAATTTGCCACTTCAGGAAAAATAAACTATATTTGTATGATACTGTCTTCGATCAATAACTCACATCATATCTAAGAAAAAGGCTCTCTATTTCATCTTTGATCATATTTGTGCAGAACTTTCTTTTTTGCATTCATGATTATGTGATAATTCTTTGATTTTTTAAAGTTAAGAATAATATTAAACGGTATAAAAAAAAAGTAAATAAAACAGATTTCCAGATTATACAATGCGTAACAATCATTTCTTTCATAAAAATAAAATCGACCACGAAAACAATAATATTTAAATACATAAAAAGTTTTTAACAAACAAAGTAACAATTTATTTGTGGATCAAAATTTTCGTAAAAAGATATGTAGATCTAGATCTGCAGATAAATTGTTCTGTTTCTATTACATAGTCAAAGCAAACTGCTTTGTTCGATAAGTCATTTTTGTGAAGTTTAAAAGAACTTCAAGTTTTAGAAACTATAGATAGATGATTGTTAAACTAAACAAATTTCAATGGAAAAATGTTAACTGTTTACTCATCTTCTGAACTATCGTTTTCATCGACTTCCGGTTGGCAGTATATTTCATTGAAATATTCTATCATATCGTTTCGTTTCATTGATCGAGCCAGCTCAAGTGGTGTCATCGTTAAATTCGATTGAGTGCCTTGCTCCATTAGTTTTCCATCATCGAGTAATAATTTTAGCATTGCTAAATCACTATAACGTACAGCAAGATGAATAAGATTATCACCCCTATTATTATTGTTGTCGCATACAGTTTTATTAAAATGTTTCAAAAACTGACGTGTTGCTGAAAGATTACTCTTTATAATAGCTAATTGTAATGGTGTATGATAATCATCATCGACATGATCAAACTTCTCTGAAATATTGATTGATTTTTTCACCAGATGTTCAACTACTAGATCGAGTATATCTTGAGAATTTACATTCATTGCAAGAATATGAAAAATATTCTGTTTTCTACTATTGATATCTTCGAGCAGTTTATCGAAGTCGTTTTTTTCCAGGAGAGCTTGGACAATATCGATACGATTGAGGCGTGTAGCATGTAACAGTACAGTTTCACCCAACTCATTTTTTTGTTTCAGTAAATCAAACTTCGCAATAGAAATAAATTTTGATGGAAGATCAGAACGATTATTCTGAATAGCCATATGAAGTAATTCAGGGCGTTTTGCAATAAATGGTCGACAGAACCGTAAAATTGGTTTAGAATCGTTTTCAGTAAATAATTTTACAACATCATCTAAAAGTTTATCCAAAAGCTGTTGAGTAGAGGTTGTTTGATTAGTATTGATTGAAGATTGAGACACTGAAATATTTTAATGAAATTAACCAAACTCTATAAAACTAACAAAAGATGTTAATGATTAGATCTGAACTAAGACAGTAGTTTCCTAATATTCTTTCGGAAAAATGAAGAAAAGAACACAACATACTTGGAAACTGTCTGTGACATGGTCTGAAGTTTACTGCTGTCATGTATAGTCGGTAACGAAAAAGAATCCCATCAAGTTTTCTTTTAGTAAAATTATGGTGAATACAATATCTTGGAATGCTCTGTGCCATGAACGATGTCATTTATAAAATCTTACTCACCTGAATTTGATGGGCTGAGAGCTGACTGTGATTCCTATAATTAATAGAAATGAACATTTCATGCAAAAACTATGTGATTTAATTCACCGGTTCTGATGTTGATTGTTGCAAGTCAGTTTCACTTTCGCAAACAGGTACAAAAGCATCAGCTACATCGTCATTGGGCCATAGACTAGGTTTCATGCGTTTATTTGACATATTGTATATAAATGGCTCTGGATTTTTCATTGCGTTTGCTTGACAAGTAGAACATTGTGCTTAAGTAGAAAAAAGTGAAAATAAATTAATTGTTAAAAACAATAATATTATTAATTACAGGTTGGAACATAAAAATATCGTAATGTTTCTAACATTCTTTCTTTTTGTTGTAATATTATTTTGACAGGTGTAGGTTCATTAATAGAATATGGAAACAATGGTGTTCTAAATGATACCATTTGACCTTTAACTTCGATATCAGTAGCGGCAAATGATGTTTGCCATTCAATATTAGATATGTCATATTGAAATGTAACTTGTAAATCTTGTAAAAAGGAAGACAGAAAACACTTATTTCAAAGAAATATTATTATTACTTCCATATTTGTTTTCTTCAAGTTTTTTGGTATAAAAAATAAGCACCTCTTCTTTGCCTGTTGTATAACCATATCGTGGTGCATATTTGTACATACGACAATCAGGTGGTGGCGAATGGGACTGTACGACTGATTCAGTAGGTCTAGTGTCTTCAACTATCTCTTTCTCAGCATCTTCCACCATTTCTTCCGAATAGATCGTTAAACCAAGATCAAGAATTGTTGGAAATTTGTCTTCGATATTTATTTTTCTACCAATCGTAAATGCTAATTGAGTTTTTTTAAGATTATATTCTTGAACTATTTTTCTTCCTGAAGTTAACTCTGGAACAAGATTATTCACTAAACTTGAATCTAAATTTTAAATATTGTAAATCATAAATGTTTCAATGATGCATTTATATACTAACAATCGCCATCAAATGGGCGGAAATCACCATAGTTTTTCACCTCCTGTTCAGTTTTTTTATCAATCCGTAAACCTGAAAAACTGAAAAATTCCGAATTAAGACATAAAGGTCTTTTGCTGAAACTCTTCCAATACCTTTTAATACCATATGGACCTTCATCTTCGATTGGAAACCAAACAGAATTACTGCCTTGATCGTTCCGATCTTCATGATCCACATCTTTCAGTCCATATGGATGTATATAGCGACAATTTGATTTGTCATGAAAAACCGTCACAAGAAAAACACCAATATAATATTGTTCTGCAGCGTTAAAGTAACATTTTGGGATCTGTAAGAAAAGCATTTAAAAATATCGCAAGATGAAAATGATAAAATTAGCTTACACGAATTGTTGGACCGGTGAAAGAAGAACTTTTATTTTTTGCTTTGAGAGTATTTCGTCTTTTTTCTCTTTGATTATCTTTACGAGTTCGCAATTTAGAACTATAGCATGGCTGTGCAATAATTTCCAGACTATCAGAACGAGATGGCATTCCAGATAGAAAAGCATCCAATACTGACACGACTACAAAAAGAATGTCAATAAATTTCAATATTGGCCGATTTATACATACTGTCAGTTGGAACTTCATAAGAGAGATCTAAATTTAATTCTGGTGAGAACTCAGACGAAGTTCCATTATCTGGAATATAAAACTATTTCAACAAATAGCCTTCAAACATCACTTACTGCTATCAGACAGTTGTAAGAAAAGATCTGGATCGTTTGAAATACCTGAAAGAAAGAACACATTATAGGCATTACTAAGAAAAAAATTAGAAATCATATATTTGTATAGACCTGCATTTAGATCGAATTCCTGAAGTACTTGACCTACAATGTAAAGAAGTAGTTTTATTGCATATATTTTAATCAGCTTTACCTAACGCGCTTTCATCGAGTGGTGATACATCTAAGTTGTCGGTTAGACCTTAACAAGATATGAATGAAACAATGAATACATTTTTTAATCATTTATACCATTCATTTGATCATAAAATGACGTTGACATTCGTTTGTGATGTAATCTAAAAGGATTCGAACTAAATTTTTTCCATCCATATACATGAAATCATATCTAAGCGTGTACAGTTTCAGTCTACTTGATTACAGGCATCATCGACACTGCTTTAAAGCGACGGGCTAACTATTCCTGTATTGGTGTTTTCTAAAATTGTGAGTGCATTAACACCGACGGCCACTGAAACACTGATGTATTGATACAGATTCCCATATCGATTATTCAAATTCAGAGTGTTTTTTGAAAGAGTAAATACGCTTATTTCAACACTTTTCGCTACAAATTACAGTTAAAAGTATCAAAAAAATGCATTCTTTAAAAGGATCATTAATTCAGTGCTTCAGTGAACCTCAATATTACGGTGGTGTATATTTCAGTATTTACACCTACAATTCACACCACTAATCATATTTTATTTTGCACTCCTACTGCCAAAGTATAACATTGGTTTGAGATATAGGCCAAAACGAATGTTTATACAAAAGTTACATTTTTTGGACGTGGTTAAGCTTGTAGAACTTCTATGTTGGAAATTAAATCTAAAAACATTTATTGAACCACAAGTAGTTCGTCAAGTATATAAAACAGAAAAAAAACATAAATTTCATTAAAAATACAAAATAAAACTTGTTATAAGATTAAAAATCTGTGTGAAGCTGCCCATATACAGAGTTACCTTTTTATTAATCAAATTTAACAAAAACCCTAATACTTTTTTTTGTCTGGAATAATTTTTTCTTGAAAATGAAATGTGCAAATAAAATAACTGATCGTGGTTTGCTCTATAGGAAGAAAAACAAAAATGAATCAGGATAAACAGCAGAATAGTTGAAGAACATTATGATTGAAGAAAACAGAACCAATCGAAAAATGTTTACGACAAATACATGAATTTAGATGACTACCAATGCAATGAAAATCATCGGTATTTTCCAATTAACTTTTGGTGTACTGGTAATTTTTTTCAGAAGTTTGTATAATTTTCACATTGCTCCACAGTTCAACGTCGGTCAGATTATATCAGCAGACGAAGTCCACCTGAAATATCAACACAGCATGAAAATATCTTCTAAACTAGATCTGATTAAAAGCTTCTTTCGGATTTTTCACTAGTCTTAACTGAAGAATCAGTTGTTCTGCAATTAGGTCCTATCCATGAAGAATGCAAAATACATTAAAGATAAATATGCTGCTGACTACTGAGTTTTCATTTTCTTAGACTTCATCTGAGAGCTGTTTTATCAAGAATGTCTAAAAACTTTATTTTTCAGTGACATCTATGTTTGTTTTAGTTTTTGTTTTCGTTACATTATTGAATGAGTACAAATGTAAATTAAATGTTGAACTAGATTATCAGGTATTATTGATCTATGAAAAGTGAGAGAATGATAGTCTTCGCAAGTAAAGCATAATTTTTGCGTCTCGATATTGACTTACCGACCGTTGCAAATGATTAACCCATTGAGTACAGTAGTACACATGTATGTACCATCTACTTTTCAGTGGTGAAAAAATGTTTTAATTGCATTAAGCTGTTAGATCTACAAGATCATATAAGTTATAGATAGAGCATGTCGGATCTAAAATTTTTGAAGCCGGACTCGGTGTATTGAACGCCTTGTTGACCCGGACTTGGTTGATTACATTTTTTTGAACTCAAACCCGGCCCCAACCCGTACTGATGATAGTCCTTGAAGTTTTTTAGTTCACGTCCAATGCTCGTTGGTCAAAACACCCTCAACATTTCTCAAGCAACCTCGACGACCATCTTATAAGAATTAAGTTCTACCCAGGTCAATCGATACGACTGGTATATGGCCGTTTAGGGTTGCTTGACGACGCCTAAACAGGCCGTATACTGCCGTATGAAGCGAATGGACGGTGAAAATACGGATAGCCATTTCGATCAACTTGGATAATTGGCTCTGTTTTTCAGAGTAGCATTGCTGGGATCGGGCTCAACCCGACGGACTTCAGTCTTTGGTGACCATATTTGCCACCTCATGCTAATCCTTGTTTGGACTATCATAAGAGTTTTATGTTGTCACCTTGAGACAAATAAAATAAAATGATTGTAGAATCACTTTTCAATTAAAAAATTCCGATGTCTCAGGGTTAATTACGGTTCATCAGCGATTTACAGGCATACTGTGGTTTACCGTTGAAACTAATCCGGTATTTGTACTATGAATAATATCATTACTACAACAGAAGATGTACTGCTACTTTGAAAACTATTCAACTTTGATTAAGTTTACCTTCGAAATTTCGCGAAAATACGCATGAAACGCGACTGTCAACAAAGCCAGTGTCTAGACACTGCGCCATTTTTTGCTGCCTCGTCTCATGCCTGTCCAGGCAAACACGTGAAGTGTCTCAGATGATAAATAGTTTTTTCGTAGCTTTCTCATCACTAATTTTTCAAAGTTCTGTAATCTTGTCAGAAATCCGAAATTTATTTATAACTTAGTTTTGAATAATGCAACGATAGATTGACTAACAAAGAAAAATTTCAAAAACCACACTACTGTGAATGAAATATAGCAGAAAATGGGTCGCTTTTCATTCGAGATTATCTTAATGACTTCGAGTGAAATAATTCAAATAGCTTTAGCTATTTCAGCTGGAGAACACGTAAATAACTCACAGTATTTCTGCAGAACAATTTTGAACGACACTTCGTCGTAGAAAAGTAGTTCGTCTCATTATTTTCCGCTCTCTCTGAATAAATAACGATATGAAATCTTACACAATCTATCATATATTATACCTTGTAATCGAATGATAGTGAAGTGTCCGTTATCAGTAAGGAAGAGTTGAAATACAACTGATTTCATTATTTTTCGATCTGATTTATTCCAGTAGCTTATATATACGTCGTAGCTGTCACCGTCTTCACAATACAAGACTTAAAATTCTGACATGTGATTTTCTTCCTCATTTAGAAGGGATAGGTGCAGTAGGTTTTTTGCTTGTCTGTTTAATTGCAACAATGTGAACAAAAGATTTCTAGTTTCCTAGGCATTTACTAATCGAATGACATCTACAAATAATTAATCATTTCTGCTAATCAATATACAGATTTGCTGAGATTATGAAAGTTGTGAAAATTGCTATATATTTCAATTTCAAATTATTTTGACAGGCAGAATTAAAAATCAGTATCAATTTTATATTTACTATTTTATGACCTTGAAATGCATTGCTTGAATGAATGTTTTCTCACCTTTTACACTTGTACGTAGTATTTTTCATGAATGAATTCTGACAAGAATAAATTAATGTAACTTGGCACGACATCAAAGCAAAATAATACAACTGTTTATTTTATAAAGTGTATATATAAAAAAATAAAAATTCAACAAATAGAGATTAAAAAACAAATTTAAGTTTTTTTAAAAAGATCAGAACAATATGTATTGTTTTGAGATTGAGCAATTTCAATTGGTGTTCGATTATCTTTGTTTTTCTTTTTCAAAAGATTTGTTTTTATATCATTAGATAATAATAAAAGAACATTTTTGATTGTTTCATTAGCTTTATTTTCAGATATATTTGCCAGTAGATGTAAAATATTATTATCATTCTTATCAGTATTTTCAGCAAGATCTAAACGTTTTTTAAGAATTGCTTCAATTAAAACCCATTGATTGAGTTTAGCAGCAAGTAATAATGGTGTTTCACCATCATCATTTTTTCGTTCAAGTAAACCAGGTGATGTAGACATGTCGACTACTTGTTCGATGAGTTTTAATGCTAAATCAATATGACCACGTTGAATTGCATCATCTAAGGGTGGAGGATTTTGATCGCATTTAGCAAGTAAAAGACGTGTTCGACGAAATAATCGTGAAGGATTATTTGTACGAACAAATTCAACGATTGCATCTTGTAATTGACCAAGATATTTATCAAATTTAGAAGTTTTGTCTAGAATCAAAATAAGATAACATTATGAAAAGGTGAAAAAAAAGCAAAAGCAAAGAAATGAAAATAAATATACCATCATCTATAATTCGACGATTTGATTCAGTATACTTCTAAAATATAAAATTATATAATGTTGAATAACAAAATTTTTATTAATCTACTTCTTCAGTTGTTAATCGACTCATTTGTTGAGCAAGTAATTCACCTCCATCAGATTCTGTAGGATCAAATATATAATATCTTTTTTTATTATTTATATGATTATTATTGATCATATCCCATTGACAACGTGAACATAAATTTATAGTTGTTTTCATTGCTAAAGTAATATAAAAAAGATATAATAATCTATTTCGTAAAAAGATTTAAATAATTTACGAGTTAAATAAATAAAATCAATACGTGCAATTACTAGATCATTTTGTGTGACAATTATTGGTACTGTAAAATTTTGTTCGGCTATTAACATTTGACATGGTGGAGTTTGAAAAAAGATTGTTTTTGAATCAACAAATGTTACTTTGATATCACCTAGTCTTCCCATTGAGCCATAATCAAAATAAATATTAAAGACTAAAATATACGAAAAAAAATTAATGAATAGACATTTTCAAGCGAACATAAAAAGTACACTTAATTGTCTATAAAATAAAAATTAAATCTCATTTCTTTATAGATTGTATTATTGGTCATGAAATACATACAATAATAAATTGAGAAGAAAAATCTGTTTAAATCCTATTGTGCTGTCATAATATAATAGAAAAAATGTTAATTCTCATTGTGCAAACAGTTAAATGGACACAAAAATGAACTAAGCAATGCATTAACTATTAGATCAATAGATATTTTTTTATTTACTTTTTCGTTTATCAAGTCTAGGTATTGTCATTAATATTTCATCTCCACCATTCCAATCACCTTTTTTCGGTGTACACCTAACTGTATCATCATCCAACATAGTTATACAATCTATATGATTATTAGATGGTTCTTCTAAACCAAAAAAATAATAATAATAATTTCAATTAAAATAAACAAAAGTCTAACTTTCTCGTCGA